GGGAAATGGCTGAAGAAGAGAAATGTTAAGAATATGGCTGTCTTAGAAAAGGAAATCTTCGGGCGGTGGTGGCGCACGCCTTTAATCCCAGCACTCGGGAGGCAGAGTCAGGCGGATCTCTGTGAGTTCGAGGCCAGCCTGGTCTACAGAGTGAGTTCCAGGAAAGGCGCAAAGCTACACAGAGAAACCCTGTCTCAAAAAAAAAAAAAAAAGAAAAGAAAAGAAAAAGAAAAGGAAATCTTAGCTGGGCAACAGTGGCTCACACAGGCTTTTATTAGAGTGGCTTGAGGCTGTGGTCCTACCAAACAAGGCTGTCTGCTGACAGAAAGATCAAGAATCCAGTAGTTGTTCAGTCACGAGGGCCAGCCATCTCGGCAGTCCCGGTCAGGTGCTGGAGTCCTGAGGGTCCCCGGAGAGCGGCTGGTTGTCGGTCTGTGTTGGAATCGCAAAGAAGAGTTCTAATACTCCAGCAACAGAGTGATGAATTTGCCATCAATAGTGACACAGGGCCGGGCCTAGTAGTGTGTGCCTTTAATCCCAGCACTCGGGAGGCAGGGGTGAGTTCCAGGCCAGCCTCGTCTACATAGAGAGTTCCAGAACAGCCAGGGCTGCATAGAGCTCGGTCTCAAAAAACAGAGCAAAGCAGGCAGAAAGCAAAAGCTTCCCTCTTCCCTGTCCTTTTCTGTGGGCCACCACCAGAAGGTGTGGCCCAGGGTCAGGGTAGGCCACCACCAGAAGGTGTGGCCCAGGGTCAGCGTAGGCCTTCCCACTTCCAGTGATCCAATCAAGGAAATCCCGCACAGGTACCCAACAGGTTGGGTTCTAATTGATTCCAGATGTAGTCAAGTTAACAACCAAGATTAGCTATCACATATGTTAAAAACAAAACATCACCTTTCTATTGAACATAAAACAAGGGAACATCTTTCATGGAGGGAAAGTGAAGTTTTATTTATTTATTAAGACAGGATCTGAGCTGGGCAGTGGTGGTGCACGCCTTTAATCCCAGCACTCGGGAGGCAGAGGCAGGAGGATCTCTGAATTTGAGTGAGTTCCAGAAAGAAGTTGTTCTAGCTAGCTCAGAAGAATTTGGAAGGTGGGTGGGAGTCAGGAAAACTAGATGCGGGGTTACAGCAGAGGCCCAGGCAGAGACCACGGGAACTGTACGGACAGTGGGACTGATGGAGACCACGGGAACTGTACAGTGAGACTGAAGGAGACCACGGGAACTGTACGGACAGTGGGACTGAAGGAGACCACGGGGCCTGTACAGTGTAACTGATGGAGACCACGGGAACTGTACGGACAGTGGGACTGAAGGAGACCACGGGAACTGTACGGACAGTGGGACTGAAGGAGACCACGGGAACTGTACAGTGTAACTGAAGGAGACCACGGGAACTGTACAGTGTAACTGAAGGAGACCACGGGAACTGTACAGTGTAACTGAAGGAGACCACGGGAACTGTACAGTGAGACTGATGGAGACCACGGGAACTGTACAGTGTAACTGAAGGAGACCACGGGAACTGTACAGTGAGACTGATGGAGACCACGGGAACTGTACAGTGTAACTGAAGGAGACCACGGGAACTGTACAGTGTAACTGATGGAGACCACGGGGCCTGTACGGACAGCCGGACTGAAGGAGACCACGGGAACTGTACAGTGTAACTGAAGGAGACCACGGGAACTGTACAGTGTAACTGAAGGAGACCACGGGAACTGTACAGTGTAACTGATGGAGACCATGGAAACTGTACGGACAGCCGGACTGAAGGAGACCACGGGAACTGTACAGTGTAACTGATGGAGACCATGGAAACTGTACGGACAGCTGGACTGAAGGAGACCACGGGAACTGTACAGTGTAACTGAAGGAGACCACGGGAACTGTACAGTGTAACTGATGGAGACCATGGGAACTGTACGGACAGCCAGACTGAAGGAGCAGGAGCAAGCTGCAGCCTTTGGGAAGAGTTCCTATGGGACTTGGGACTTACTTTGTTTGTGTGAGAGGGTTTGTAGCTCCAGGGGTCAGAGGAGAGTTGAGGGAAGAGGTGTATGCAGCGGCAGCTTGTTCTGTCCATGATGCTCTTAGAGTGGAGGTGGGTGGAGCTCGGGACCGGGGCGGGACATAGAGATCTGGAGTGATTGTGGGAAGCTTCAAGCTCTACTAAATCAGTTAGGAAACAGCCAGGGAGGGAAGAGGAGCAGGGACAGAAGCCGGGGAAACACTGAGAGCTGGGTCAGGGCTGTGTGTCACAGGGCCAATGGGACTGGAAGGGAAGAAGAGGAGCAGGGACAGAAGCTGGGAAATACTGAGCTGGATCAGGGCTGTGTGTCACAGGGCCAATGGGACAGGAAGGGAAGAAGAGGAGCAGGGACAGAAGCCGGGAAACACTGAGAGCTGGGTCAGGGCTCTGTGTCACAGGGCCAATCAGACAGACAAGACAGGATTTAGATTCCTGTGGAACAAGGTGAGGGACCGGACGTTGTTCCATCAGTTCATCAGTTAAAAGGTGATAAGATCGCCTTCTGTATAATTGTGGCTTCTTCTGTGTGTTATAAGATGCTGCTGTGGCTCCAGCCATCAGGATCATGTTCCAGGCAGAAGAAACAAGGAAGCAAAAGTGGAAACATGTTCTTGTCATCCCAGTTCTTGAGAGGGGAAGGGGAGAGAATTGTGAGTTTTAGGTTAGCCTGGGCTACATGACTTGTGTCAAAAAGAAGAGGAGAAGAGGAGGAAATGGGTACACATGGAGTGTGCCTCTCTCAGGAGCTTTCTTCAAAGCACATCCAGCAGCCTACACCAGCTCTCATTGGCTGGACCTGCATCCTACTGATCCTGCCTGAAGGGAATCTATCATGGCATGATTTTCACTTTGTTGTTTTGTTTTGGGGAGCAGAGGACACTCTGGTTAGGGTAGAAGAAGCAAGGCTGGCACTAAGTAGTAACTAGCAACCTGGCTTAGTCAGGTTTTCTATCACTGCAACAAAACACCATGACTAAAAAGCAGATTGGGGAGGAAAGTGAAAGGTTTCTGCACCCTGACAGGCCTCTCTGCCGACGCAGCAATCCAAATCAAACCAAACCAGACCAAATTAGAAAAGCCCCAGTTTAATGGGTAAAGCGTTCCCGGGTGATTCTTTGGCCCCCCAGAGAGGAGACGGGGATGAGAGACCAGAAAACCATGTTTCTGTTTTCTGGGATGCAGCTTAAAGACTCTGTGGGAGTGGTCTTGAGCCTCTCTGAGGGAGGAGCCGTGTTTGGAGGGCTTTGAAGGGGTGGGTTTGGGGAAAGAGATGGGGGAGGGGAGTTGAAGTGGATCTTCCACCAAAGCATTCCAGACTCTTTGGGTATTTGGATGCCAGGGTGCCAGGGGTTGAGGTGGAGTTCCCACCCAAACAGAAAAAGTTTATTCTGCTTACATCATTTTATCATTTTATCATCATTTTATCATCAAAGGAAGTCAGGACAGGAACTCAAGCAAGGCAGGCACCTGGAGGCAGGTGCCGAGGCAGAGGCCATGGAGAGGAGCTGCTTCCTGGCTTGCTTCCCATGGCTTGCTCAGCCTGCTTTCTTATAGAACCCAGGACCACTAGCCCAGGTACCACCCACAATGGGCTGGGCCCTCCCCCATCAAGGACTAATTAAGAAAATGCTCTATAGTCTTGTCTACAACCAGATTTATGGACGCATTTTCTTTCTTCCTTTTTGAGGGGGTGGTTTTCGAGACAGAGTTTCTTTGTGTAACAGTTCTGGCTGTCCCAGAACTTGAATTGCAGACTAGGTCGGCCTCAAACTCAGAGAGATCTACCTGCCTCTGCCTCCTGAGAGCTGAGGTAAAAAGGCTTGAGCCACCATTCCTGGCTGGAGGCGTTTTCTTAATTGAGGTTCCCTCCTCTCAGATGACATTAGCTTGTGTCAAGTTGACATAAAACTAGCCAGCACGTGGCCTCTGGGAAGGGGACCAGAAGAGAGGAAAGAGCTCAGAGAGGAGAATGGTGGGTAGTCTGACTGCCGCAGAGGCCACATCCTGGGTGGGATTCACAAGTAAGGAACCCCAGGATCCTCAGCAAAAGCACACTTTTCATTTCTCTCTCTCTCTCTCTCTCTCTCTCTCTCTCTCTCTCTCTCTCTCTCTCTCTCTCTCTCTCTCTCTGTTTCTCTCTGTCGCTCTGTCTCTGTCTCTCTCTCTTTCATGTACTTGTGAGTCTATGTGCACCACACACATGCAGGAGTCCCCAGAGGCCAGAAGAAGGCATCAGACATCCTGCATTTGGAGTTACAGATGCCATGTTACAGTTAAAGTGCCATGTAGATATTGGGAATGGAACCTGGGGGATCTGCGAATTCTCTCTCTCTCTCTCTCTCTCTCTCTCTCTGATTTTTAGATCTATTTATTTTATTTTACCTAGATGAGTATTTTGCTTGTGTGTATGTATGTGCACACCTCTGGCTGTGTCTGTGGCAACATTTTCAGAAAGATTTAATGGAGGAGGGAAGACCTGCCCTGAATGTGGGTGGCTCCATCCCACGAGCTGGAGTCCCAGGCTGAATTAAAAGGAAGAATGGGGGGCTGGAGAGATGGCTCAGAGGTTAAGAGCAGTGACTACTCTTCCAGAGGTCCTGAGTTCAATTCCCAGCAACCACATGGTGGCTCACAACCATCTGTAATGAGATCTGGTGCCCCCTTCTGGCCTGTAGACAGACATACATGCAGGCAGAACATTGTATACTAAATAAATCTTTAAAAAAAAAAAAAAAAAAAAAGGAAGAATGGGAGACCTGCTGAGAACCAGGATTCTCTATGTGCCCCATGGCTGTGGGCATGACCAGCGGCCTCCTGCTCCTGGGGACAGTGGAGCTGTTCTTACCGCCTTCCCCACTGGGCTGCATGGCTTCTGTCAACTCGACACAAGCTGGAGGGACCCTCAATCAAGATCAGGCTGCAGGCAAGCCGCCAGGACAATTTTTATTTTGTTTTTTGAAACAGGGTTTCTCTGTGTAACAGCCCTGGCTGTCCTGGAACTCCCTCTGTAGACCATGCTGGTCGCAAACTCAAAGATCTGCAAGAAAGCTGGCTGAGCAAGCCATGAGGAGCAAGCCAGTGAGCAGCACTCCCCCATGGCCTCTGCATCAGCTCCTGCCTCCAGAGTCCTGCCCTGCTTGAAATTCTGTCCTGACTTCCTTTGGTGATGAACAGCAATATGGAAGTATAAGCTGAATAAACCCTTTCCTCCCTAACTTTTTGGTTATGGTGTTTCATCACAGCATAGTAACCCTAACTAAGCCACTAACCATGATGCCTCTTTTATTCTTTTTGGTTTTTTTTTTTTTTTTTTTTTTTGGTTTGGTTTTTTGAGACAGGGTTTCTCTGTGTAGCTTTGTGCCTTTCCTGGAACTCACTTGGTAGCCCAGGCTGGCCTTGAACTCACAGAGATCCACCTGCCTCTGCCTCCAGTGCTGGGATTAAAGGCGTGTGCCACCACCGCCCGGCTTCTTTTTTGGATTTAGAGACAGGGTCCTTCTATATAGTTCTGGTTGTCCTGGAACTCTCTCTATAGACCAGGCTGGCCTCAAGTTCATAGAGATCTATCTGCCTCTGGCTTTCGGGTGCTAGCATTAAAGGCATGTGCCACTAAACCCAGCTACAATGCCTCATTTTTAATGGCCTAAAGGGCTCATTAAAACTCAGAAGTTTGGGCCAGTGGGATGGCTCAGCTGATGAAGGCACTTGCCACCAAGCTGACAACCTGAGTTCTAAGAACCCACGTGGTCAAATGGCTCCTGCCTATTGTCCTGTGGTGGGCACATACACACCACCCTCAACACACACCAAATAAAAACAAACTCCGAAGGCTCCCTCTGCCCAGAGGAAAGCCAAGTGGAGGGAGCAGGAGCATGTGGGCTGAAGCACGAGAGAGAAAGAGAGAGAGAGAGAGAGAGAGAGAGAGAGAGAGAGAGAGAGAGACAGAGAAGACAGAGACAGAGAGAGAGAGAGAGAGAGAGAGAGAGAGAGAGAGAGAGAGAGAAGAGACAGAGACAGAGACAGAGACAGAGACAGAGACAGAGAGAGAGAGAGAGGAGGCAGAGGTCCGAGTCGCTTGCTTGTGTGTGCACCCACAGCACAGAGGCACGGAAACAGGAATCCAGGAGGGGGGAAGGCTGGAACAAGTTGTTAAGCTGCATGCTGCTGTCTAGAACTGGCCTCTTGCTTGACTTCAGCTGACAAGCCCACCTCCCAGAGACCCACCATGCCCTGCCCAAAACACTCCCAGCTGCTCCTCTGTCTCTGCACTCTTTGTTCTTGGTTGGCTGAGTATGTAGTGTGTGTATTATAGTTAGCTGCTCTCCTCCCTCCCACCCTCCCTTTCCTGATTCCTCTTCATAAGGCTTAACTATGTAGTACAGGGTGATTTTGAATTTGGAATCCCTCTGACTTGACTGTTTCTACAGCCTTAATTAAAAAAAAAAAAAAAAAGCCAAACCTCAGATAAAAAGGCTAGATATAGTGACATATGTATGTAATCCTAGCACTTAGGAGGCTGGTCGGTCAAGAGTTCAAGACCAGCCTCAGCTACAGGAGACTCAGTCTCAAAATAAAACAAAACAAAACAAAACAGTGGTGGTGACGCACATCTTTAACCCTGGGTAGAGGCAGACGGATCTCTGTGAGTTCAAGGCCAGCCCTGTCTACAGAGGGAGTTCCAGGACAGGACAGCCAGGGCTACACAGAGAAACCCTGTCTCGAAAAAGCCAAAACAAACAAAACAACTCAGGTAAGCATGTGACGATACTAGAATATTGTGCCAGTCTGGTCCAATGTAAACACTAACCAAAAGCTTAACTGAACCGCCAAGCAGAGGAGGCCACACACGGAATAAGGACAACTGGTGTCCCAGAGCCAGCTCCCACACAGGCACGACACAATAAAATGCGGCCCTGGCCACTGTTGTTCTTTATTTTTGTTTTGTTTTGTTTGAGACAGTGTCTTACTCTGTAGCCCAGGCTGGAAAATGATTCTCCTACCTCTGTCTCCTAAGTGCTCCGATGACAGGCATGAGCCACCATGCCCAGCTGGCATTCATTCTTAATGTCTTTGAGCTACCCCTGCCTGGGCCTGGCTGGCATTGACATATGCACAGTGAAATGGACACATATTAATTTTCAGTGACTCTGGAGAAATGTAATTGGAAAAAATAGACGGGGGAGCAAACCCTGGGAGTTTTCAAACTCAGCATTCTATTTAGGGAACAATGACCTTCAGATTTTATGCAACATGAGTCATTAAAACTTGATATTTTGTCAGGAATGGGAGTGAAGTTGGATCAGGAACGTAGCAGCTTGCTCCCTGTGAGCTCTCTCTTCCCGGCCTGCAGCAGGGAACTGACTTCTCATACACTGAGGGACCTTGGGAGGCAGAGGTTAGCCGTTCTGTTTGTTCTGAAGCCTCCATTTTTACTCGGTACAGTGTCAAAGAAATTAATGAATAAGTACTTTGTAAGAAGCTTTGAACTTTTCCTTTGAAACATCCCCTCACATCTCAGTCCATGGGAGGTAAAGAGTGAAGGATCAGGAATTCAAGGTCACCCTTAGCTACATAGAAAGCTGGAGGCCAGTCTGGGCTACATGAGAATCTGGTTCAAGAAAAACTAAACAAAAAAGAACTTACCACTATTGTCTGGTACAGTGTTGTGGTTGCTGAGACTCAACACAGAACCTCACACTTGCTAGACAAGCATGCTACCATCAAACTACACTCCAGTCCTCAGGATGGGTCTTAATGTTCTTTCATTCTACAGCACTTGGGAGGCAGAGGCAGGCGGATTTTTGTGAGTTCGAGGCCAGCCTGGTCTACAGAGCGAGATCCAGGAAAGGCGCAAAGCTACACAGAGAAACCCTGTCTCGAAAAACCAAAAAAAAAAAAAAAAAGAATGGATAGGGTTGTTTTTATCTAAGTTGTTCTATTTACTAATAAAGACTCAGGATTCAAATATGGGGTTGAAAACCTGCTAGATCAGAGAAGCTGAAAAGCAACCAGTTGACCTTCCTTTTCAGCTGGAGACCCAGCAAGAGAGTATCTCTCCACACTGTCCCAAACCAAAGAGGCCCTCGAATCTCTTAAGCTTCTCCCTTCTCCTTCCTGTGCCTCTGTCTAACCTGTCTTCCCAGGTCTTCAGTATTCTCTGTAGTTCATTCTTGTCAACTAGTGGCTGGCTCTGCCCCTGATCCAAGGTTACTTTTATTAACACACTCTCAGAGTTTCACAGTGCAATCAAATATCCCACACCTGGATAGGCTTAGTTTGTGAGTTGGCTGGGTTTTGAGAGAGGGTCTTATTTTGTTATTTGTTTTTGTTTGTTTGAGACAGGGCTCTTACATAGCCCTGGCTGTCATGAAACTCACTATGTAGACCAGGCTGGCCTGGAACTCACAGAGAACCACCTGCCTCTGCCCCCCGACTGCTGGGATTAAGGTGTGTGCCAGCCTGCCCAGCAAGAGAAGGTCTTACCATGTGATCCTCCAGCCTGGTCTATCAAGTGCTGGGATTACAGGGATGTACCCCTCAATCCAGCAACACGTAGGATTTCACTCAGTACAGTGGATGAGTGTAGCTAGAGGTTTCCTGCCTTGCCCACAGTCAGGACAAATCTCTGTCACCCGCCAGTCCCACAGCCATCAGACCCAACCAAGTAAACACAGAGACTTATATTGCTTACAAACTGTATGGCCGTGGCAGGCTTCTTGCTAACTGTTCTTAGGGCTTAAATTAATCTATTTCCACAAATCTATACCCTGCCACGTGGCTCATGGCTTACCAGAGTCTTCACATGCTGCTTGTCCTGGTGGCGGCTGGCAGTGACTCCTTCTGCCTTCCTGTTCTTTCTTTTCTCCTCTCTGTTAGTCCCGCCTATACTTCCTGCCTAGCCACTGGCCAATCAGTGTTTTATTTATCGACCAATCAGAGCAACACATTTGCCATACAGACTATCCCACAGCAGATGAGTTTGTTTCTCCAATAGGGTTCCCTAAATCAGACTCTGATTCAGATTATTTATAGGTTTTTGGGGGGCAGTATTCTTGTGGGTTGCAGGCAAGGCAGGCATGGGAAGAAGGAGAAGGTGACCTTTAAAGAGAAGGCAACAAAGCCTCAGCCAGTCCTTCCGGGAACTAGGGTTGGATGGTTGTTCTGAGCTGTCCCAAACTGAGGTGGGATCCAGGCCTCCAGATCTCTAAGGGACCCAGTCAATGACTTGAACAGCTTCAAGAAAGAGGTGGAAGCCCAAGAGACAGTTCCCTTCTACAGAAGGGTGCAGATGTTAGCCATGGGCAGTTAGTGGCCTTATCACAACTGTCAACATGATTTGCAGGGCTCAGTATGAAAAGAAAATGTGGTACTCCTTATGAGAATATCAAGGAAATATCCAAGCTCTAGTTGTCACCTGGCCATAGTGTCCATCTCTCTTTTTTATTTTTAAAGATAGGGTATCACTTTTGTAGCTCAATCATCCAGCTTCAGCCCTCAGAGGGAATGGCACTATTAGGAGATGTGGCCTTGTTGGAGTAGGTATGGCCTTGTTGGAGGAAGTGTGTCACTGTGGAGGTGGATTTTGAGGTCTCTTATGCTCAAGCTACACCCAGTGTCACAGTTCACTTCCTGTTGCCTGCAGATCAAGATGAAGAACTCTCAGCTGCCTCTCTTGCACCATGTCTGCCTGCATGCTGCCATGTCCCACGATGAGGATAGTGGACTAAATCTCTAAAACTGTAAGCCAGCCCAATTAAATGTTTTCCTTTATAAGAGTTGCTGTGGTCATGGTGTCTCTTCACAGCAACAAAAACCTAAGACAGAAGTTGGTACCAGGGACTGGAGTATTGATGTGATAGGCTTGACTATGCTTTTGTTTGGAAGAATTTGGGCATTGGTACATTACAGGGTTAGGAAAGCAGTGGAATGCTTTAAGTGCTGCTTAATGGGCCACACTAGTAGGAACATGGAAGACAGTGGTGCTGAGTATGATTTGATGAACTATGGGGCCTGGCTCTAGAGGTTTCAGAGGAGAAGAATATTAATATGTGTCTTAGAGATGGTTCTTGTGATATTTTTGGTGACAAAGGTGGCCGCTTTTTGCCCTGCTCCAAAAAGTTTGCCTATGACTAAAGTGAAAAGTTTTAGATTCATTCCTTTGGCAGAGAAAAATCTCAAAACAGTCTAGTATTGATTCTATTGTGTGGTCATTAGT